ATTTTTATTAAATTAAAGTTATCGGAATATAATTAACTATTATATTAGAATATAATTAACTACAATAGCATAATACTAAAATAGTATAATAAGTAAATAGTAACTATAATGGTATAAAAAGTAATTATAATAGTAATATAATATACAGAATATAATTAACTATAATATACAGAATATAATTAACTATAAATTTCTGACCTCATTCTACTTTTTAAGTAGAATGAACTCAGAAAATCAGAAATAAATTTAAAATGCGGATGTTCTTTAAAAGTTAACTATCGCTTTAATATCTTAACTTAACTTTCTCACACATGAAAAATAATTGTGTAAGAAAATCCTACATAAAAATTTCAAACTAAATACTTTTATACTTGATACCATTTTTTGGCCATAAGCAGTAAATAGATTAAATAACCGGCCAGTAAATGGTGTATTAGGAAAGTTTTAATCTAGTTCAGTTAAAACATTATATGTGAGGTTCTAAGTAAATAATTTTGTTACAAAATGTACACAAATTATTTATCTTTTTTTCCCTTTCTGAATGGACTGCCAAAAATATTTGCAACGCTTAAAAAATGACAGAAAAGTATGAATTTTTGAAAACAAAGCGTTAAATTGTTAAATTTAATATGATGTTTTTGACATTCAGTTATAGCGACTAAAACCTTCTTGATTTTTCCTGAAATTACAATATTTAGAAAGTTTTAATGAAGTCATTAAGTTTGAATAATAGTTTAGGACAATTTGTGTCATAGATTTTTGTGAGAATAGCTTTTAAAAGTGGCCAGTAAATGGTTAATGGCCGGCAATTCGCACATTTACCCTATTTGGAATATTTAAGGATTCATTTTTATGCATAAACGGAACCGAGAGAACTCTTTTAATCAAACGTTCCTGTAATTTTTTTTTACTTTTTACCGTAAAATCAAGTCAAGTAAATCCTGAAACAATTGGGATTTTTCGGCTTTACCCTAACCCTAACCCTTATTGGTTCTCTGGGTTCCGTTTACTTTATAAAATGAATCCTAAAATATGTATCAAAACAGTTTTTTAAGCATTACGGGTTTTTTGTTTTGTTTTGCTTAAATTCCTCAAAGCATTGAATCCTTAGATATTTTTTTTATTCATTTCTAAATATAGAAATTCTATATATTCTATATATTTCTATATATATATATATATATATATATATATATATATATATATATATATATATATATATATATATATATATATATATATATATATATATATATATATATATATATATATATATATATATATATATATATATATATATATATATATATATATATATATATATATATATATATATATATATATATATATATTTGTATACTATAAGTTTATTTGACTTTTTTTACAGTTATCTCAAGGATTCTTTTAAAAACTATAAAAAGTTTATGGGTGAATCCTGTGCATTGCAGGATACCCCCTAGATCTGCCCCTATGCCTGTAAGTTAGGAAATACTGCCGTACTTTCAGGGTTCTAATGAAGAATGCAGTAACTTTTATTACACATTCTGCATATATACTTAACGTGGTTTACGCTAAAAAACAGCTCAGTAATTCCACAGTACATACTGCATTTTTTACTTAACTTTTAAATAGAGAAATTTTGCAGATGCGAAAAAATGGCTGATGTGAAGCAACAAAAGTTTACATTACTTTGGTCATTAGCAATTTATCGAGTACGTAAGATTTTATGCTAAGTGTAATATATATAAGTAATTGAATGTTTTAAAGTTTTTAAAACACTCAATTACTTATATATATTACTTATATATACCACATTTTCAAATTGTTCAAAAGATTTAGTAAACTTTGCTCTAGAAAGCAAAAAGAGTGTTGAACAAGAAAGCAGACAAATAGCATTGAAATATTCAGCAGAAACTAAAGTTGAAGTTACACTAGGTCTGAGCCAACCGTTGTAACTTTGAGTCATCTGTTTTAATTTTGTTTGATAATTGTAATAGTTTTAACTTTCAATAACTAAATAATGTTATTGTACAATGCAAGTTTGCGCAAGTTATAAAAATCTAGATTTTGGCTTGTATAAAACAATATCTGAACAACTGTAAATGCACTAAAAAAATGATGTTTATAAACAAATATAGGAGAATTCTTACAAGATGCAAATAAATTTAAAAGTTATAACTTAGAGAATGAAAATGGTTTTATGAAAAATGCACCTATGATGAGTGTTCGTTACAGAATAGTAATACTAAAAGTGATGAAGACGTTGTTGCCAAAGAAACCAAATTTTTTCTGAATGAAATTAGAGAAAATTGTACAAACTTACCCAGCCCTAGCGACATTAGCCAAGATAACGAGTCTAAGAGTAACTAAAACCAACATGATAAACTGTCTGTTTTAGATATAAATAGAAAAGCTCACGTCTAAATTATCGAAGAAAAATTTATTGCCTAAATAATCGAATTATCACCTAATAATCGAATTGAATAGAATAATCGAAAAATAATCGAAATATCGCCTAAATAATCGAAAAAAAAAAACGATTTAGTACTAGTGTACAAGAAAAGAAAAAACTATTATTTAGGAAATGAAAATAGTCCGTTCAGTTAAACAAGTACCTTGTGAAAATGTCATCGGTGATAGTCAGAAAATGTTATTGTTAATTGTCAGAAAATGTTATCGGTAATTGTTAGAAAATGTTATCGATTATTGTCAGAATGTTATTAGTTTTTGTCAAAAAATATTGTCAGAAAAAATGTGGCCATCATAATAGTAGCCATACTTTTTTATAGCAGAGTAAGAAAAATGTGGCTTCGGGTTTGAGATTATATCCTATGTCTACCTTATGTTGTCCACTAATCATTACAAACAGTTGTAAACTAATGCATTTTGTTGCGACAAAACAAGTAATATCGAACTTAAAAACGCATTCAGAAAACTGCTGACGAAATTACTGATTGACATGCCAAGATAATCGTGCGCAATGCCAAGTGAGTTTAAACTAACTTTTAATAACATTTTTGTTGTTGTTGTTGTTGTTGTTGTTGTTGTTGTTGTTGTTGTTGTTGTTAATTCACTTCTTCAAGGCCGAGAAGGCCACTACAGACAAGGAGGCTTCTTATTTGTGGGTATAAGAACTCGGAACCTCTTGCTTATGAAGCGAGCGTTCTATCACTACAGCACTACCGCATATTATGCATGTTACGCTATGCAAAACCTTAAACTACTGTAGAAAACAAATTACCAAATTGGAATTTCTATTAAATATTAAGTAGCTCGTGAATGATTATGTCTTAGGGCTCAATTCCTAACTAAGCCACTGAATGCGGTTAAGTTTCTAACATACACAATCAAGTTATGATTCAATACGAGAATTAAAAAAAACGTAGACAACTATGTTAAAACTATGTTGTAGTTTTTTATAAAACGCTTACTCCTCGTAGTAAAAAAAAAAAAAAAAAGAGTAGAAATTATGCTTGGCATAATAGAATTGCTGGTTCACATGTGTATCACAGTTAAAGTTAGAAAATTCACCCGTGATTTACCTAAATTATCATAAAAGAAAAATAATTAAAAAAGTAAATACTTTGTAAATGGTAAATACTTTGCAAATGGCAAAAACTTTGTAAATGGCAAAACCAACTTCAATAAAATGAGCTCTTTTTTTGTAAAGGTCCAGGCAACAGCTGGCCTTTTTACATAAATATAAAGAGATTGAAGTGGTAAAAATATAACAATATCCATGAAACACTTAGTACATTTCTGCCAGATAATTGCTAGCAGTTCTAAAAAAGTTTGCTTTACTTTTATAAGTATCATATAACTGAACTATTTTTCAAAATAAGAAAATCAAAAAGAGAAAATTGTATTTCTTTTACTTTTAAAGTAAGAGAAATACTATTTTTTTACTGAGATTTTTCAGGTTAGTTTCATTTTTTGGAGATTTTCTGACATGTTTAAAAATTTCTTCTATTTTTCAAAAGATTTCTGACATAACAATGAAGATTCTAACAATGTAGTTCAACGAGTCTCATATAGCAAGAATCAAAGCAAGTCTCCAATAATGCCTAAATAGAAATTTTCTAATTAGTATTTTGATTATTGTTGCGACCCCGTTTTTTTATACCGGAACCTTCACCATTGTAACATTGCCCACTAGCATCATTTTGAGGCTCATTCGTAAAATGACATCCCGTAATACAAAAGCTTTTAATGCGTAAGATGAAACTAACAACAAAGTTTTCTGTTAAACATTTTAAAAGTTCCTCCTTAGTAAAAGAAATAGGTATTTTTGTTTTAAAATGGGCTTCTAATCGAGTAATTGTTTTATTTTTCAAAAAATAATTAACTATTCTGAAATGCTAATAATCAAAAAAATAAATATAATAACCAAAAAATTTCTTGATCTGCGCTGTTATATAAGGCAATGTTTTACTATATTTCATTGATTTTGGTAAATAATTTCACAATAAACACCTAAGACTTAAATAATCACCTAAGGTTCTGTTATTCTGTGCTAGAAAATAATATACATAAAATGATTTGACCAGTAGTGAGCACGGGGGGGGGAGGGAGGTACACCCTTTACACCCTCCGTTTGGGACGGCCCTGACAATGTTTATAAAGTTAATACGCTTGTAGAAAAATACGATCCATGAAAATAGAATACGAAAATTAAGTTATTTTATATTTTCTTTATAAGAACGCTTTAATTCATCAATTAGACAAGTTAAAATTATAAAAAAAAAATCAATGATATTTTCATACATCATTTTTTTTACATAAAATGAAGTTTAAGTTATAAAGACCATAAAATTTATGAATTTTTTTCATTGTAAACATCAAACCGCGTTTTGATTAGTAAAGGCTTTCACAAAGCTAGTCAATTTAGTTGATTCTTATGTTTATTTTTGACTTATCAACAATGCTTTATAAGTGAAAGAAGAAACGTATATTAAGAAAATAATAACTAAAACATAACGTGTTTATTTACTCAGTAAGTCTTCTTAGGATTAAAGATATTTATTCTTGTAACCAGAACTCGTAAGATAACAAATTTCTTACTCAATCTTTTATTTGATAAACTTTAAACCAAAATAAAGAGAACTTGTGCAAATGATGGGATCAGTTTATTATATCGTTCTTATTTTTATTGCAGGTATAACTTTTTTTTAAGTAAGTAATAATTTTTTTTTACTTTTTATACTTTTTTTTATTTTAAAAAGAGTTTAAAACAGCTAAGGTTAAAACAACGTTTCTAAGAAACGTTAAAACTAAAAATAATTTAATATAAAATCACGTGATTAAAGCAAACTCAAAAAACAATAGATTCTTTACTTTTAGAACATATTTTTACTTCATATTTGCAAAACTGTAACATTATAGTACAGTTTCGTTAAGATAAGCATTTGTATTTAAACTACAAAAAGTTGTTTAAATATACTAAAATTATCAGAAAATAGTTTTTACAAAATCTAAATGTTACTATTTAAAACGGAGATATATTTATATCGGAGATATATTTATTACTATTTAAAACGGAGATATATTTAGTAAAAATATGTTCTAAAAGTAAAGAATCTATTGTTTTTTGAGTTTGCTTTAACTGTAACTGGAAAACTGAGTTACTTGCTTTAAAAAAAAATTGCTAAGAGACTAGACTGATAGACTAGGGCCCATTGACCTTAACAGTAATGTGGGAAGGGAAACCAGGGGATTGCAATATATATAAAAATTAAGTAAAGACACATTGATAAATTTTTAAATTGAGTAAAAAAATCAAAATAATGGCGTAATAGCGATAATAAAGCAATTAGAATCAGTGGCGCCAATTCAGCAAAAACTTAGGGGGAGGGCAAATTTGTGAAAGAAAGTTGACTCCCCCCTCCTACCATAACAAAAACATATCATTGAGCAGAACAGTTCAAGTCCTAAGTAAACTACTTTTTTTATTTTTTCAGTTAATAAAATATTAAAGATTTAAACATTAAAAAGTTACGAAAGTTTCATTGCAACAATGGGTAACGACGTTGGCGCATTTTGGCAAAGTCATTTACTAAATCTTCAAGGTCTAACGATTTTACTAATTTAGGCTTAACAGCCATTAGCAGCTAAAAATTTAGTGTCTTGTTACCACAAGTTGTTCTGAGAAAATTATTCACACGTTTCAAAATTGAGAAATGACGTTCATTTGATGCTATGGTAACAGGTAATGTCGGCACAATTTTTAATAACTTTAACACTTCTGAATAAGCATTAGGCCATAGTTGCAATTTCTGATGTAAATCAAAAATATCAACAAATTTTCCTTCAGTTTGCCAACTTATCTCCTGGAATGATTTAGCAACTAGTACTTGCAATCAAAAAACAACATCAAAATGACTTAAATATAATTTTGCAAGGGTTTAACATTTGTCAACATCCAAATTGTATTTCTGGTTGTGATGCTCTAATGCTTGAATTGCATTAAAAAGTAACTCATTTTGCATAAAACGCCTATCAAATTCTACAATAAATCTATCCAAAATGGCGAAGTCTGATCTTTTTAATTTCTCAGAAATACGTATGGGGTCACTTGATAAATATTCTTTAATAAAAGATGAAATTTTCTGTGATCTAGCAGCTCTAGATGATGGATGATCATTGAATATTGGATCAAAATTAATGTCAATACCAACAGATGTTGCAAACTCTTTTGACTTTCTAAATAACGCATTCCACTCAGTTTCAGATCTCAAACCTTCAAGTTCTTTCAGAGTAGCAGCAATAGACTGTTGGGGACCCAAAAGCGTTAAACCTTCTAATTGAAGCAGTTCAGATAATGTGTTGGTTTTTGATAACACTTTTTCCAAAATTTTTAAATACAAGATGAATGATGGTGATTCGATTTTTTTTGTAGCCAATTGCCTCTGACGATGCGACGTGGTTATCGGATTCCATTACTGCCCCAGCAACACCAAGTATTGCCTAATAACGAAGTATAATTTTTTTAATTGATCTGTAACAGTATAACCAACGAGTTGCTGTTGTCCTTTCTAGTGATAGCGCCTTCTTATATCCTATGTGCTTTTGAGCAACCACAAACATCTCGTGTCGAGTGTTATTGTTGGCTATGAAATTGTACAAACTTTGGATAGTGTCAAAAAATTCCGACAGTTCTTTTATGCCGGAAATTGTTGTAGTCAAAACAAGATTTAACCTGTAAGCAATTGAAATACAATAGAAATATGTCACATGTCGTGCACGTTCTTTAATCCTGGTCTGAACACCATTAGCCCACCCACTCATTATACTAGCACCATCATAATATCAGTTCCAGTCTAGTCCTACTTAAACTACATTGTCATAAATGAAATTCGCAAATGATTTGGCATCGAGAGCTCATATGATACGTTCCAATTATTCTCTCTGGTATCTGCTTACCATACAAGTAACGAATTATTAATTCTAGTTGTTCCTTCTTTGAAATATTTTTCGTTTTGTCAACAAGAACTGAAAAGAACTTGAACGCTTTAATTTCTTTAACTATTATTTTTTCGATCTTTACAAAAAAAATTTAATCAAGTTATTATGGTAATCATGGGACATGTAATGTCTATAGCAACGTTCTAACTTTATCTTTAGATTTTCATCTGTGTCCGCAAAATCATTCATTAATTCGAAAAATTGTCTTTGTTTTCTGACTCTTCTGTGTCATTGTGGCCACAAAATGCAATACCTTGACAAGGGAGGAATCTAGTAGTACGAAGAAGTGCCTTGACATGACTTCGGTTTTCTTCTACTTCATTTGATCTGTTGATTGTAACCAATGTAGAAATAGGTGATTGAAGTTTGTTTGATATTGATATCTATTGGGTCCGCGTTACCATTGGGTGTTTATAACGTAAACTTTCATTATGTTGCTCAAACAATGTTTTCATATCTTTCCATTTAGAAAAACCTACACCAATGAATGCCTTTTTTCCATCTGTCTTTTTTCCACCTTTGAATAGATTAATTTGAGAAAATTGATCTTCAAATGGATTAATTTTAACAAATTAATCCATCTTCTGCGGTTCGTTATGTTGCAAGCAAAATGCGAAATTTCTCAGCAAATGCCAACATATTTAAACAAGTTTGTCCAAATTGTTTCTTGCATGAATTATCCATCGTATTGAAGCTATTTATAAAGATAGTTTAAGTCTGGTTTCACAATTTTTAAAATATAAAAAAGTAGGTTAAATATAGAAATTAGGACCTTACCTGAGGAAAATTGCAATAATTAAAAATGATATTTTCCTTTGTTATTATATTTGTAATAGAGAATTTAGCTAATAAAAACGCGAAGATTTTATTATGTGAAACGTTATTTTACCTACATTAAAAGTTAACAATTAACTAAAGGAAAACAGCAATAGATTTTGAAAAACTACACTTAAATGTTTTCAATCGGCAAATGCTTTACCTAATTTAGGATATTTATGACGAAGATTTGCATTTATATATATATATATATATATATATATATATATATATATATATATATATATATATATATATATATATATATATATATATATATATATATATATATATACTATCTTATCGATTTTGCTACTTTCTTCAAAACAAATAACAATACTTTCTTAGGTTAGGTTGAATTATTTAAAGAGACAAAAAGTTAGTGCTTATTTACAAACAGTTAATTTTAAAGTTATTCACCACAGTATCAGTTAAGGACCAGGCCAAAAAAAATGTTTAAATGTAGCTGAATGTATGCTATGCAAGTTGTGATTATCAGTTTAAAAATAAAGTTGGTACTTACTCTAATGGAAAAAAAATGTTCTAAATAAATTACTTTTTGATTTAGTAAACAAACTTTTATTTTGACTTTAACAACATATGATTTGAGAAGTGGTGTTACAACTTCCTATGAGCCTCAAATGGCCAATACATGCAACTAATGTTTAGTTAAAATTCATCGTTTAAGAATGCTGAACAATTGATGTACCTCCGAAGGTACACATACCTCCACTCTCCCCTACATACCACACTTCCTTACACATCTTTTTTAATTTGTTTATAGTTTAATATTAGCATTAATATTAATTGTAAGATTAATAATAACATTAATAGTAGTAGTTTTTCATTTTTATAAATGTTTGATACTCTAACCTAGTTTATTTTTTATTTTTATAATACATTGGGACACATCTATACATATTGATGTTGAATACATTGATATGTATCAACGTATCCCAACTGCCCTACTGACAACCATTTTTTTAAGTAGCCTATATTATTAGTAAAATAATTTAGTACAATATTAAAATCAGGAAAATCTCTAAACCTATAATTTTGGATTTGAACTCTTCAAATTCTTACAAAGAAATCGAACTACAAAGTTCAGAAGAATTTGATTCAGAATTTTCTGATAATACTGCGATTGACCTATTATATTGCTCCAACTATGGTGAAAAAAACAAGAAACTTATGAGGAATGTGAAGGAAATAACTTCAGGTTTCTTCTTTGAAAACGCAAGCCAACTGGAATTTTAACTTTTTCTGGTAAAAAATGACTTGTATTAATGTACACTATGATAGGGGCAATTTGATATGAATTACATTTTTTTTTTTATCAAATGGATCCTAAAACTTTTTCTGATAAATCTTGGAGGTGATTCGTTTTAAATAAGATTAACAGTGGCGTAGGAAGGTTTTAAATGATTGAATTAACCAACTTTTAAATGCAAAGAATATTCCAAATTTTTTTACGTTCATATGTATGAAGAAAAGATTCTCCACAAAAAAAATTTACTGTGATAGGGGAATGGGAACAAGAAACCCTAAAATCTTAGCCTCCCCTGCCCCAAACGTAAGAGCAACAAGTTGATGATATATTTTTTGTACTATTTTTAACTAGACTTATATTCATTACAAAAATTTAAATTTCATAGTAAAATATTTTAGTGTTCAAAATTTATGACCATATAAAGTTTAAACCCTCCTCAACTTGAGGGCGTTGCACTATTTAATTAAAGTTTGACTTTTTAATTATCTATATATTATGTGCAGAAACCTTGCAACATGACTAAAATAATTAAACCAAAAATTTAAAATACAGATGAAATCTGATTAGTCACCCATGCGAAACAATAAAATGGTTTTTCTTTCCTGTGGTTGTGATGTTATAGTAAACTTTGTATAAGTTTATTAATATAACTGCAAAACAAAACCGATTTTATCTGAAAGTGTTAGGCAAGTATATGACCTGGTGCTTTCTTTCTGGATTAAATCACGAAGACCATTAAGCACAAATTAAGTTATAAAGGAGATTAAAAATTTCTAATCTTTTCAAGATCAATTAAAGAGGGATTGCTCTGGTAATAATAAAAACAAACTGTAGATATTATGTAATTTCCTAAAAATGACTGACACATTTGTAGCTTACTTGATGATGCTGGTAATGATTGGTTAAAATGCTAGTTGTTCAAGATTACTTGTGTGTTGGTAAGTAAGTTTCTATGTGTAAACAATTTTGCGGCTACAGAGTTGCTCTAATGCATAGTTTCAATGCAAGTATCATGAAAAATGAAAAAATAAGCAGCTTGTTTTACAAATAGTTAAGAAACACAGGCATGACTTTTCATAATGACACCATCACTATCTAGGAAATAGCATTAAAAACAAAAAAATTAGAGGGACACCTTAATGCACAGAAAATATTTTGCTCCAAACTGGTTTACGTTTCAGACTTAATGTAAACTCGTTTGGATGAAAGTAATGTATTTTATTCTTATATTGAACCCTTTTACTTAAAAATCATATTAAAATATTGTTTTGTAAACATATGATAACATAATACTTTCATCCACTGAGTAGGGTAGAGCGGGGCTAGGTGAGCATAGGGGCAAGTTGGGCAACCAAAATATCTTAAAAACTACTCATCACATGGCAAAAAATCTAATGGATAAAAGATAGGTATTTAAAATGGTAAAAAAATGTTTAGTAGAGATCAGTTGAGCAGATCTGACAACGGTTGATAAAACGGCTTTATCACACGCGAAGATAAAATTTCGTTTGGTAAACTTTTTAGGTTCTTTCACACTTTTAAATTAATCAATATAAAATACTCATAACAATTATGAAGTAATATTTCAAACCTTTTTTTTTAAATATGTTATTATGGTTTAAAATTATTCGATTTTTTAATATTTTAAAAATATTTTTACTTCAATATTACATGGTCAGTAAAATCTTGTTTACTATGTTTATTATAATAATAATATTATGATATATATATATATATATATATATATATATATATATATATATATATATATATATATATATATATATATATATATATATATATATATATATATATATATATATATATTTTATAGGATCCGTAATTATAAGCAGCTTAGTGATGCAGCAAATTCTGTTTTAGAGGGGAAAAAAAAGTGTTAGTGGGGAAAGAGGCACTAATGTCACAATGGTAACCGCTGTACCTGCCTCAAGAAATACAGTGCTTCCAATGTTTGTGTTCCCTCGCAAAAATTACAAAGATTATTTTGTTAATAATTTTTGAAAAAAATGGTCCACCGGACTGTATTGGGGTTGGTAACGGTAATGGCTGGGTTACAGATATTGAATTCAAAAATTTTATGCAACATTTCATTAAGCATGTGAGGCCTTCAAATGAATATAAAATTCTGTTGATTTTTGGCAATCACTCTTCTCACTTACATTTTAAAACACTAAACTTAGCAAATTAGAATGGAATAGTCATGTTGTCTTTCTCACCAAACTGCAACCATAAGCTGCAGCCACTGGATGTATCAGTGTTTGGACCTTTTAAAAAGTACCTATTAGTTGCATGGCTGAGAAACAATCCTGGAAAAAGCCATAACAATGTATGATATACCAAAAATTGTATCTGATTCATTGCCATTAACTATAGTGTGTACTAACATTACAAAGGGTTTTCAAAAAACTGGTGTATACTCGTACAATGCAAACATTTTTGCTGATGATTTTTTACCATCATTTGTCACAGGCTGTATAGAACCAGCGAATCTTGTATCTGAGCTATTAAAGGAGCTCATTCTGAAGTACATTTAACATCATCTTCAGGTCAATCTGTCAAAAGTAGTATTAATAAAGAGACAAAGTTACTTGTTCCTGAAACTCCTAAAGCATTTTCTCCAGAAACTGTGCAACCTTACTCAAAAGCAGCATCAAGAAAGATTTTATGTGGCGAAGAAAAAGCTGCTATTCTAACAGATACTCCAGAAAGAATTATCAAACAAAAAAACTAAGATGACAAAAAAATTAAAGATAAGTGAAGAACATGATTATACTTGTCTTGTATGTTGAAAACTTATCCGTAAAGTCTACCAGAAGAAAATTGGATTCAATATCAAGGTTGCAATCAATGGTCTCATTCAAAATGTGATTCACATTCTGGTCAAAATTATATTTGTATTAACTGCAAAATGGAAGTTGAAGACTAACATTAAGAGTTTTAGTTATTGTTTATAATGATATTAACAAGTTTTGTTTAAAAATGTGTTAAAATAGTTGTGTTTAGTTTTAAGATTAAAAAGTTTTGTTTTGTTTTTATTTTAGTTTCAAAAGTATTAGTTTTTATATTCATATCTTAAATAACTAGTTAAAGTTGAAAGTATATATTTAATTTATAAGAAAACTATGTTTTGGTTTTATGACAGAGTTAATAGTTGTCACAAAAATGCATTCATTTTTTTATTGTTCAACTTACCCCAAACAATTGCTCAACTTACCCCGCTGGGGTAGTTTGAGCAGCCTAATAAACTTTAGACTATATTTTCTAAAACAAACAAAAAAAGTTTTTTTGCCTCAACCATTTTTTAGCAGATCTTTCTAATAGTAAAAAAATTATATTAATCCGATGTACTGTTCAAGAGATCTGTTAAATTTAGTAAAAATTGCCCAACTAGCTCCGCCCTACACTACAAAAAAATATTTGACTATTTTCTGACATACACTAATAGATATAATAGTAACATCATAAATTTATAAATGTTGTTATTATTATTATTATTGTTATTATTATTTCTATTATTATTGCTATTATTATTATTATTATCATTATTATTGTAGTATAACTTTAATATAGCAATAAATTGCATGTTTGAAGTATTGAAATATGAATAATTTATTGTTAATTACTGTTTAATTTTTGAATTAAATTTTTTTTTTGAAAATATTACAATCATATTTTGAACATGATGTAGTTACTTTATCATTGTTTAAATTTAGAATTTGTCAATCAAACTAATGCAAGAAACATAACTACTTGTACTTCTAAATATCCTTTGGTTAAAAATGAAGCATATGAATGTGAAATATTATTCAAAAATAATGATGGATCAATAAATCAAATCATACTTCAAGTTGATGTTTGTAAAGATCCTATTGAAGCAAAATTCTATAAGAAAACCACTATCCCGAATAGTGCAGAGGTGACAGAACTTTCTCATATATTTACAAGATTGAACAGCAAATATGAGTAAGATATAAGAGTATTAAACTTTTTTGTTTGTTTCATAATTATTTACAAAAGTTTTATTTTGAAAAAGTACTCTAGAGGTTTCTCACAAAAGTTATGAAAAATATTTGTGCCAGCAGTGAAAAAGAGGGACAAGTTGCTTCTATAATATCACCACATAAGTTGTTTTTTAATTAATAACTCTTTTTATATGTTGCTCATTGAACAATATGAGAAATGCTCCTATTTATTGACGTTATTATATTACTTGCAAAGAAGGACCTCGAAGACATCAAATCAAAGTTAAATATATATTTTTAACATAAATCAGCTGTAAAAACTTAGCTTAGCTAGACTATGTACTTTTTTGCAGACAGTTATTATTAAATAAATAACAAGCAATATCAAAATAGGAACACCTTATAAAGTGCAATGTTAATTATATATATATATATATATATATATATATATATATATATATATATATATATATATATATATATATATATATATATATATATATATATATATATATACATATATATATGTCATATATATATATATATATATATATATATATGTATATATATATATATATATATATATATATATATATATATATATATATATATATATATATATATATATATATATATATATATATATATATGACAAAAATAATGATGGATCAATAAATCAAATCATACTTCAAGTTGATGTTTGTAAAGATCCTATTGAAGCAAAATTCAAAATTCGATGTTACGTTAAATCTAAGTAACGGTAATCTAATTTAAAAATTGTTAACTACCTCGATGTTACGTTAAATCTAAGTAACGGTACGTTTCAACCATATTTTAAACCTGATAATCAAATAAGGTACATCCACTCTAATTCTAACCACCCTCCAAGCATAATAAAAGCAATCCCTCGCAATATCGAACAAAGATTATCTTCCATGTCAATTAATGAAAATTTCTTCAAAAAGGCTATTCCACCGTATGAAGAGGCTTTAAAAAAATCGGGAAATAAATCGAACCTTATCTACCAACCACAAATAATCTCAAGTCAAAATCAACAAAAAAAGCAACGTAAACGTAATTTATTTATATTTGGTATAACCCTCCGTTCAGCTTAAACGTCAAAACAAAAATAGGAAACCGTTTTCTAGCCCTTATTGACTTACATTTTCCAGCCGGTCACAAGCTACATAAAATATTCAACCGAAATTCTGTTAAGATTAGCTACAGTTGCATGCCTAACCTAAAATCTATCATAAATTCGCATAATTCCAAAATTTTACACAGCAAAAATCAATTAAAAACCAACCAATGTAATTGCGTAGATAAAGCATTTTGGCCTTTGAGCAATCAATGTTTATCTAACAATATTGTCTATCAAGCAACCGTAGGTTCCAGTCATCATGATCGTAATAAAAAAGTATATTTTGGCATTAGTAATACACCATTTAAACTAAGATACGCAAACCATCTCAAATCATTTGCATCAATTAAATATAGAAATGACACAGAACTATCTAAGGAAATATGGAGTTTAAAAGACCAAAACATAAAGCCCATTATAGAATGGAAAATTGTCAAACGTTGTAAACCTTACAATCTAGCAACAAAAATATGCCACCTTTGTCTCTACGAAAAATATGTAATTTTATCGCATAAAGGAAAAAATCTACTGAATAAAAAATATATATGTATATATTTAACATCTTCGCTTCCAACAAGGCTGCAAGCAACCACTAATTAGTTTTGGAAGTTACTAGAAGAGAAAAGATAAAGATTGTAGAGCAAGATAACGATTGACAGACGACTTGAAAGATTACAAATTATATGAATCAGGAAAACAAGATAAAGGAACCGAATTCCAAAAAACTGATGTTCGAGGAAAAAAACTAGACGAATAAGACTTTTTGGAGCACTTAAAAACAGTAACAGAAAAAGGATGAGACTTAATTGAATGACGAATAGCACAAGAATGAATTTTAGTAGATGGCACAAGAGACGCTTGCTCTTTTGAGCAGTGCTTATTATAGTATTTGTAGAAAAGAGAAAGAGAAGCAACATTACGGCGATGTGATAAAAGTTGAAGGTTAGCTGCAAGGGCAGGTCCAACTATGTTTACAATGCGTTTTTGCACCTTGTCTAAAAGAGAAAGGGCATAATTAGATGATCCGACCCAAATATGGCAATATTATTCCATCCAAGGCCGGATTTGAGATCTATAGAGATAAAGAATAGAATCCAGAATAAGAAAGTGTCGAGCTCGATAAAGAGATGCAACTTTAGCAGATGCTAATTTTGCAACGTATTTGATGTATGGTTTTCAAGAAAGATCAGAAGTAAGAGTTAATCCTAAAAGATAAAGGGTAGATGAATCATCGAGTACATTACCGTTCATAAATATAGGAAGGTCTAAATTATTGCGATAACGATTGGCTAAAAAAAATTGAGTTTTATCTAAATTAAAGTTCACCAGCCACTGTGAGCCCCATGCTGTAGCAGAAGTGAGATCCTTTTCAAGCTCAAATGCCCCCTGCAAGCAATCAGAGGGAGTTGGCTTCTTATCGTGACAAGAATAAATGGTAGTATCATCGACGAACAATGCCACCTTAGATGTGAGAATATCTGGAAGATCGTTAATGTAAATTAAAAAGAGTATAGGGCCAAGGATTAAAACTTGAGGAACCCCTGAGGTTACCGAATAGGAAGAAGAGTGCTGTCCATCAAGGACAACTTTTATACTACGATTGGAAAGGAAGGATTCAATAATCTTTCTAGATACACCATAACTAAAAAGCTTATGGAGAAGACAAGCATACCAAACTTTATTAAATGCTTTAGAAATGTCAAGAGCGATGGCCTTAACCTCTCCACCTTTATCTTATGCGCGACAAAATCTTTCGGTTATTACTGTTAGCAAATCTGCCGTAGAACGAGAAGATCGAAATCCATATTGATGATCAGAAAGTAAGTTGTTAGATTCAAGATGAGAGTTAAGTGTTTGTTAATTAAAGATTCAAAAACCCTGCTTATTCAAAAACCCTGGTAGGAAGAAGACTAATGGGACGGTAGTTTGACGAATCGGATTGCTCTCCAGATTTTTTAAAAATGGAGATAACAGATGCTGCTTTCCAGCAGGCTGGAAAACAAGACTCTGGTATGCACTTGTTGAATAGTATTGAAAGTATAGACACCAGCTCCGGAGAACACTTCTGCAAGATTATAACAGGTATGTTGTCCGGGCCGCAAGCTGTAGAAGAGTCTAAGCAGGAAATCACTTTAGATACAAAAGCTAGAGTAATACAGATGTCGAGCAATGGATCAACCTGTTTGACGGCTATATTAGGTAGAACGCAACTAGTGGAATCAAGAAATGATATTGATGAAAAGTTCTTAGCAAACAATTCAGTCTTGTCTTTAGGTGAGGTGACAAAGTCTGAACCATACAAAAGAGGTGGAACTACAGACTTGCCCTTATTATTGATACTATTAAAGATTCTCCAAAAGTTACGAGAGCCTAATTTTTGTGATGAAATACGAGATTTCATGACCTGAGAATAGCGGGCTTCGGCATTAGACAAAACCTTTTTACAATTGTTCCTAGCAGTAATAAACAGACGTCTGTTTCTGGAGAATTGTTTTGCTGATAGAGATGGAAGTAATGGTTTCGATTGGCATATGCAGCAGCACAATGTGAGGAAAACCATGGAGAAGAGTGAGGCTTGACCTGGAATTGCCGAGAGGGAATAAAGGGATCCATGCCAGCCTGAATACACGAAGTTATGTAAGAAGCACATTTCTCAACAGGAAGACGAAAGTTTTCTACCCAAGGGCCATCACGAAGAAAATCACGGAAAGAGTGCCAGTCAGCTTTAAGGTAGTTATAAGATGTACGATGTTAGGGGGGTTCTGATGATAAAGAAGAATGAGATAATAGTTTTAGAGAGATCAAACCATGATCGGAAGCACCTAAGGGTGAATGTGGAGAAACTGAGCACTGACTAGGGTCAGAAACAAGACATAAGTCGAGTAGAGAAGGTAAATGATTTGGGTTGTCTGGAAAGCGAGTTGGAAAGTTAACTATTTGAGTTAGGGATTGAGAAAGGCAAAAGTTGTGGGCTTTAATACCTGCAGAGTCACTGACACTAGAGCCAAGCCATTCAGTGTGATGAGCATTAAAGTCACCGACAACAACAATATTGGCTGATGGATAAAGAGAGAGGGATTGGTCAATATGATCAGAAATAACATCAAAAAGAGTGCAGTCTTAAGATGAAGGAGAGCAATATAGAACAAAGAGAAAGGTGATAGAGTGAAGTGGTGCTATACAAAAACACATAAAAGAGTAGTTTGTGGAATCAAACCTAGTTTTCCGACAAATGGGTGAATTCTTACGAATGTAAATGCCCAGGCCAAGCATGTGACTATTAGAGTCTTTACGAATTAAAGGGAGATAACCATCAACACTAAGATCACAAGATGAGACAGCTGAACTCAAATTAGTCTCACAAAGAGCATGTAGGTCTGGTGAACTTTGCAAGAGATAAGACTCAACAGAAGAAAAGTTACTTCGAAGACCACGAATATTAGTGAATGATAGGTTTAGCGAACTTGGTTATGACTGTGATTTTTTGTGTTTTATAGTTTTTGTTATTTTATTCATTTTTAAATTTGTGAAAGAACTTGACTCGAAACATAGATAGTACTCAGTACACTGTTTAATAGCCCAAGCAATTGCCTCATTACTATTAATAAACCCTAAGCCGTAACAAAGTGCTCCAATGTGGAGAGCTACCACAGAGTTCGGGAAACCTTACTACCAGCCGGCCTCAGAACCATAAAACTGAGCTTTAAAGCTTTACCCTCATTAGGAGATAATAGAATGAGTTGTCTAGTCATGAAAACAGAGACACAAGCAAAACCCATGCATCGGGTCAAGAATATATATATATATATATATATATATATATATATATATATATATATATATATATATATATATATATATATATATATATATAAATATATATATATATATATATATATATATATATATATATATATATATATATATAAATGTTTTTTTGAAATATAAATAAAAAAATAATAAGTAAATATTTTATATTTATTATTTAAATAAATTTGGAGTCCTTTTGGGTTTTTTGCATCCCTGGCATATATATATATATATATATATATATATATATATATATATATATATATATATATATATATATATATATATATATATATATATATATATATATATATATATATATATATATATATATATATATATATATATATATATATATATATATATATATATATATATATGCATATATTAAAATCCTGATATCTCGAACCCCGGATAACTTGAACTTTGAGTAACTCAAACTACTTTTTGAGTTCCACTTAAACCCACACTAATACTTTCACATAAAAACAACTCGATAACTCGAACACCCGTTAGCTCGAACATTCGCAACAATTTTATAATGGCTAATATTTTCCAAAAATTAGAACTTTAGAACAAAAATATAAAAAAACCGCAATTAAGCCCTTCCATTGCTATGTAAACGATAATAATAATCTGATCGCTTAATTTGAAGTATAAGTTCTGTATTAACGTGCATTGCAATATTATAATAAAATTTGTTGTATTTACCTTTTATTATGGTTACTATCGTTGTCAGGGTTATCGTTGTAGAGAGAAGAATGAACACAAAGCCAAATAAAGTAAAGTACTTTGCTTTAAGGGAAATTGATGAAGAAATTGATGGAAAAACAGGTATAACGTTTCTTTCAAGATTATATGTGGAGAGGGTAACTCTTGTACAGTTGAAATGACCACGCCATGGAAGGAAATAACTCTCCTTGCAATTTTATCTAGGTATAAACTTGATGAAATTTATAATGCAGCTGTAATGCAGATTTTTTTTTTGTACGCAACCTAATAAGTCACTAATCTTCAATGTGAGACGTGTATAGGAAAGCACAGTAAAATTCGTCTTACAGAAATGGTCGCAGCAAGTGCAACTGGTGATAAACTTCCTATGTTTCTAATAGGAAAATCAAAATCACCTTGCTGCTTTACCTTGCACATACAGAAATGAAAATAAAAGCTGGATGGATAGCGTACTATTTGATAAGTGAATAAGAGAAATGGACTCAAAGTTTATAAAAAAAAAGAAGAAAGTAGGGTTCATATTAGATAACTATCCAGCACACCCGACGGTTGTTAATCTAAAATATATTGAGGTCATTTTTTTACCACCAAATACCACATCTAAACTTCAACCAATGGATCAGGGAGCTATACGCTTTTTGAAAGTTTATTACAGGCCTTTGGCATTACAAAGGCTGTACAGTGAGAACATTTCATTGAAATAGGTGACCAAAAATACTGGGAACTTGAACCAATCATATGTCTTTAAAACTTCTTATATGTATCATTGCATTATTTATCAATTTTTTCAGGATCAATTGCGTCTTTGCAATTAATTGAATTAAAATGTTATGTAATCTGATAATAATTTCTTCATCCATTTCTAAAATTTTACTGAGTAATAAAGGGTCAGAAAAAGCTCATCTGCATTAATTTTCGGTATTACCAGTTCCACTATCTGACCAACCAGCTCTTGGTTCATCAACTTTCAAACCAAATTCTTCAAACATCCTATTATGTATAATTTTTTCTCAATAAATATTGATCTTTTAAAAACCTATTTTACTGTTTCTTTTGAAAACCTATTTTACTGTTCAATTTTTTTGCAACTATGATATGATATGAAATATGTGCAAATTCAAAAAACCTAATCCAAGCATGTAGTGGTCAGATGCTACAGCACAATGCCTTCCCATTTGTAACAAACCTTTCCTTAAAGATTTTTTAGATCGCTCATCGTGTTAGGTGTGGCGTGACAAATAGGACAACATTGTGTCGAAAAAATGTCTGTGATGAAAAATAAAATTTTTTCATCAATCATTGAAAGGACAAAACTATAGTTGATAAAAACATTTTTATCAACTATATCTTTATTTTCGTTTGCATACTCCAGTCTAATTGGTCTACAGAATCTAATACTCTGAAACATTATCTAACATAATAACATAACTTATGCTATTCCATAAAATATTGTTTATATCTGATTGTACATGTAGTCGAAAAGGTGATGTTGCTGTGACTAATAGATCCAAATCTTGAAGATGATTTTGATTGGAATTATAAAAACATTGATAGTATTTTGAGTGACTTGATGTTTCGTCCGTACCTCAGGGTATTAATTAGTATTAATTCATCAAAGTCTTTATTTTTATCATCAAAATTTTAAAAAATTTTCTTCTCCCGTAGTTTCACAAGCCTCTTGGATGTGTGCTCCATAAGATCCTGTAGTTTAACTTTGGGCTTTGTTTCAGTAACTTCAATGGATGTTTTTAAGCATGAGCACTCGTTTTTTATTTCAGAAATTACTCGAAAAGATGGAAACCTACATGGTGCTTCTTTATGGGTATTTTCATAAACAGTTCTTGAAAGTTTGTTATGCAAGAAATATACAAAAACTTCTTCAGTCGTTGTTTTCTCTTGCTATTGTATTTATTTTCTCTTTTCTGACTTGAATTCTAGTAATAATGTATTTAAACTCACAATTTATATTTTCAAAAGTATTTACCAAAAGCTGAAAACATTACACAATTTGTATTAAATTGATTTCCTCCATTATCTTAGTTCTCAACAATAAACTTACAAAATAAAAACAAACTTTTTAACAACATTTAGAAATTCATGTGGTTTTGGTCGATTAGTGGGACATTAAAAATGCTTTTTAGAATTATTTTTTCTTAAATTAGTTATGCATTTTAAAACCATAAACTCATGAAGTTAAAATAAAAAGTAACATTTTTCCTTTCAATATCACGAAAACAAATTTATTTTGGTCTTTCATGCCTTAATGTAGTTTTAATTTTTAATTTTTGTAATGAATTAAAAAAATTATTTTTATTCGAAGATGTTTTTTATTTGTTTAAAAAACCATCAATTTTTCAAAATTATTTAGCACTCAAGATCACGGATGATGGCAGCTACACTTCTCAGGGTAGTTAGTAGATACTATAGACTAAAAAATATCAAAATATGGAAAAGGTACAAATTGGAACAATTTTTTAATTCTTCATCAAAGTTAAAATTTAGTATTTTTGTGACGAATATTTTACTTTTAATGCTAAAAGTTGTACTACCTACTTTTTTAAGAAAATTTTTATTTTTTATTTTTAATAATCTATACTATAATCTTTCCAATGATGTATATATTCTCAATTTTTCAATGATCTATATATATTAAAAAAATAATAATTACTAAAATCCAGCAAAGTGTTTTTTTATCGAAAATTCATTAAAAAACTAACTTCAAGAAGCCACTACAATTGAGATAAACAGTTTGTAAACATAATAATGATAATACAATCAATCCAGTTTGCCTAAAAATTAGTCATATTTGGGAGGCACTGCAAGTGTTGTATGACTATATGCCATTCAGTTTTATGGGTGAAGATTTTCAACAAAAGCTCAATGCAGTCTCGATTATATTTGATAGAGGCGTTTCTTTAAAACTAAGGCAGAGTGACATTAGAACATTTTTTTATTTATAATGTATTATTTTTACCTTTGAGACCAAAACTTTTTATAACTCGAACTGTTTTTAATTGATTTATTTGACATCTTATTTTGTCAAATGAACAAAAACTGACTTTATTGTGCATCATTAGTCCATTTCAAATTTAATTTGTATCTATGCATGATCTTTACATTAACATCATAATTTTCATTACAAATGTCAAGCGCGAACCCTATGTACTATTCATCATCTTAAAACCATGCAATCTATTTACTGGATTGAATATTTGAAGAAACTTTTTGTACCAGGTTAACATTATTCAGTGAATGAGTATCATAGACAGTATCGCCAGAGATTCTCCGTAAAAAAGACTTCTCTCTACTTGGGCAAAGTTCCTGTTATAGAATGTCCCGATAACTCGAACATTCGCTAACTCAAACTATTTTCTAGGTCCCTTAGAGGTTCAAGATATCAGAAGCTCACTATATATTATATATATATATATATATATATATATATATATATATATATATATATATATATATATATATATATATATATATATATATATATATATATATATATATATATATATATATATATATATATAAATTTAATATATTTTATTTAGGCAAAAATTTAAAAACCAAGTATATTTAATTCGAGTTGATTTTAATGATGTTGCCAACTATTCGGAATTTATAGAAGTAGTTGTAAGTATCTTTATCAAACATAAATACAAATATGCATATACACTTGTAATAAATACGAATATACACATATAATCCTATAAACATATACACATATAATCCTATAAACACACATATATAATACAACACATAAAGTATAATCATTCTACTCATCTTACAAACTAGTTTTATCCGTCAACAAAAATAAGTCTGAATTTTAAACTTTGATGGTCAAATCAAATTTCCCGTTAATAAAATGGTTTTGGTCTCTTAAAGCATAATAAGAATATTCCATTTTGGAATTTCAACCTAAAAAGTTATTTTTGTGTTCAAACTCTCTATAATGAGTTTTGTGGTAATAAGTTAAAATGCAGCTTTCAAACTTCCGTTTTATATATACAATACAATTTCTAGTAGAAGAATATGGCTATAACGATAGATAGGGGAAAGGCGCCTATGATGTCATACAGGTCATATATTCTAAATATTGGTTATGGCGAAAAAGTGATTAGACCAACATGTCTATACTGACTTTATATTAGTTTTAGTAAATATACGTCCCATATGCACAAATATTGCTTTTATAATCAATAAAAATCGATTTTGGGATGTACTGCTGTATTTTTAATCCATTTAAATATTTAAGATTGTGGTTTTAATATTAATTTTGCAGAAATAAAATTTTCATGCATTTTATTTCCAAGTTTTGTGCATTTAGTGGAATACTTACTTTAATTTTATCTTTTGAACAAGGCAGACATAGCTTGTTTAAATGAAAATGATGACTTCTTGCTATGATGGCATACTGACGAGTTAGGTGTGTTGCAATATTGAAGAGTGAAGAAAACCTTTTTTTTCATAAAAACAACATACTTGTTATTGAAGTAAAAAGGAATTTTTTCTTCACTAAAAAATTTATGGTTCAAAAAACACATCAAATGCAATAACTCTTATGCGCATGCGCCAAATTTGACACTGCTGCTGTGTAGCACGAATGGATTAATTAGAATGATTACCTGTAGTTTCTGGCATTTCTGAGGGAAGATTCTTAGGTCAAATGAAATTTTCAAGTAACTTTCATTTGACCAAAGATGCTAATAAAGTAAACCTTGATGCTAACCAAAAATTAAACCTTGAAAATTAAACCTTGATGCTAACCAACCCCATCTTCCCCTATGCCATCATAGGAGTAGTAGTTGCCTATTATAGCATACTTGTGCATTTTTAAATAAAAATAACTAATAAAAAAATAAACCTGGAGAAAACTCCTAAGGTTTTTATTGTTCTACATGTAACAAAGAATGTATCCATATCAAAATTTGTTCCTGGTCTTCAGGATACTGAATAATGAAGCTTCAAAGTTAAGTATGCCATCATAGACGCCTTTCCCATATCTTTTTTCTGACACTTTTTAACCCCCCAAAAAAACCTACAAAAATCTACAAAACCTCATTATAAGCGGAGTGTAAATAAAGACAAAAACAGCAAACGAGAGATTGCTTGAAAGTGAACTCAGAAAAGTTAGAAATATTAGAAATGCAGTACTTGCTCAAGAGGTTGAGGGAAAAAAATGGGAGGCAATAATTTATTGTGCACAATGGAAAAAAAAAATTATTGGGGTATACGATCAGGTGAACTCAAATGGATCGATATTAAATAGACATAATTTCTATATAAAAGTTAAAAGAACCTCTGCATTAAACTTGGGTATTCAAAATGTTCAATCTGCCATAAAAAAAATGTGCTATCATTCATTATATAGTGCAAAATTATTCTCTAGATATTTTTATACTCACTGAAACTTGGATAAAGTTAGACGACCCTACTGCAATTAAAGAAGATATGGCACCAACAGGCTTTAAAACAATTCAATACTGCAGATCAGACCATCATGGAGTAGGCATTGCAATGATATATAGAGAAAACTTAAATATCAAACCACTCTCATTATTGTCTACTTGTCTGTCTTATGAACGTACATCAGCTAAACTAAATCTGGCAAATACTATCTACAATATTGTTACTATTTATCGATCAAATCCAATCATTCTAACAAACATTTTCATTTTCGAATTATCTGAACTCCTAGAGGAACTTCAAATATAATCTGGAGAAATACTTAAGTGTGGTGACTTTAACTGTCCAGGTACTACTCCAATACCCTGCAATTCAAGACTTGATGAGATTTTAGAGGCCGACAACATGATAAAACGAGTTCAATCTCCAACTCGCATATCATCTACTACTGGTATAGCCAACTTGCTTGATCTAGTAATAAATTGACATGATGATATTTCACTCAAGAGTATCCAAGTAACTGATGAGGGTATTTCAGATCACAATATGATTCGGGTAGAACTTTTTCATCAACCTTCAAATACTAAAACTGTTTGGTATTCAAAACAAAACTTTAGAAAACTAAACTAAATGGCATGCTTTATAAATGAATTGCAAGTGATGCCATGTTGCTTATCACCTGAAAACAACGTGGATGATTATGCCGAACAAATAAGATCAAGTATAACAACTGTTCTTGATCATTTAGCATCCATTCGAAAATATTCAATGCAACTTGGTAAACATGATGATAAATGGTTATCTTCAGATGCCAAGAATAAAAAAATCAGATGTCGTAAACTGGAGCGTTGTTATAGAAAAACTGGTAGTTTATCAGATAAAAAATTATATCAAACTGCATGCCGTGTGGCAGCTGGAGGAATTCACGAATCCAGATGTAGTCATTATAAGGCGAAACTAAATTCAGCATACGGTGATCAAAAAGAAACATGGAACATTGCCAAGAAATTACTACATTCGAATAGTTCTAAAACTAAAAACACAATACCAGAAGCGAAATGCGATATAATAAGTCAATATTTTATATGTTTTATATTACATATATATATATATGTATATATATATGTAATATATATACATATATATATACATATATATGTATATATATTACATATATATACATATATATATATATATATATATATATATATATGTATATATATATATATATATATATATGTAATAATATATATGTATATATATATATATATATATATATATATATATATATATATATATATATATATATATATATATATATATATATATGTAATAATATATATATATATATATATATATATATATATATATATATATATATATAATATACATATTATATATATATATATATATATATATATATATATATATATATATATATATATATATATATATATATATATATATATATGTATGTATGTATGTATGTATATGGGTGGATCTTAATTTTAAACTTTTGAAATATAATTTTTTTACCCTCTTATTTAGCTTGTATATTTGAAATAAAAGTTCAGAAAAAATGTCAGCACAATTAAGCAATGTTTAAGGGTCGTTCAATAAAGTTAAGATTCTGAAACTCCAACGCTTTTACTTTGCTGATACTCGATACTAGCCTTATTCTCGTGAAAAATTTGGAACACATAGTCACTTTATTTAATCATCGTACCCACAACATTTAATCATTGTAGTTCATTTCTGGAAAATTGTCCAGATTCCATTCAACCCATCGTTTTGATGACAATACGAAATTTCCATGAGTTTGTATTTGTATTCAAAAAAATTTTCTAACTTGTTCACTGTTTGCAATGGTTATGCTGATTAAATACTAAGCAACATTATTAAAGCAGTATGCTGTTTAATTGCTTCAGGGATTGTTTTCAGTAAATAAGATAACTCTCTGAAATAGTTGTCTCAATTTCCAAATTGAATAAAACTAAGTGTCTGTAAAATTGATGATTGATGTGACTGAAGTCTTTCTCGATTCTTATTGATTGGTGAGTTAAATGATTGTTATTTCAAATGTTTCCATTCCAAATAGTAAATGAATATATAAACAGTCATGTAAATAAATAAATTAAACATAAGAATTTATGCTCAAACTTTTTGTATACTTCTTAAAGTGCAGAAAAATTTCTGTTGTCCTCCTGCGACACTGGTGATTACACAACCATTTAATATCTTTTTTTTTTCATTAGATCTAACGTCACTATAAAGATATCAGAACTATTTCTATTGTGTTTGTCATTTTTTTTTAAAAAGTTTTTGAATTTTCCTGATGCTACATTTAACCTCTATAAAAATCCACGTAAGCCTTTCAGCAGTCTTGTTGCTAGTGGGTTTGAGGCTCTCTCCCCCAAAAAAACCCGTTCATTAGGGCCCCCAAATTTTGGAAATTTTTCACTAGTATTTCTAAAAAAAAAACCCTCAGATTTGTAAAAGGATCCCTAAATTTTCTGCTCTCCCCCAAATTAGATATGTGGGGTAGCATAGCCACGGCTCTGTCTTTCAAAAAATATGTATATTAATATTTACTCAAATCATCCACCCCAAATTCTAAAAGAAATTCCAATTTCAAATTCCTTTGAAATGTTTTTTTTGTTGTTGTTGTTATTTAGGTGCCCCAGTGCATTTAACCATGTAAAATGTACTGCTTATAAAGCAAGCGCTCTAACCGCTGCGCCACTGCCGCACAATTTTTAAAAAAAAAGTGGATTTCAAAATTTTGAAATAAAATTTGAACCTGAAAAAAAGAACACAAAAAAGCAAAAGAGAACTAGAAATGTAATTTTGTTCAACCCCCATATAACTAAAATGTTTCCACTAACATAGGAAATGTGTTTTTAAAATGGGTCAATAAACACTTCCCGCCCTCTAATAAATTCCATAAATTTTTTAATCGAAATGCAAATAAAGTTAGCTCCAACTGCACAAATATTATGAAAAGAATTAAAAAGGTCACAACAATCCTTTGCTATACAAAACAAAAAAATACCAAATGAAAAAATAGCAAAAAATTGTTAATGTAAACAAAAAATCAATTGTCAATGAGTGGAAAATGTTTATTAAAAAACGTGGTATATAAATGTGTTGTTTCCTCTAAGAATGTATCTTATAAACAATATATTGGCTTAACAGATGGTAAATGGAAAAAACGTTTTGTCAACCATAAATAGTCTAATAAAAATAAATAGTATTCATAAGACATTATGCTGTCAAAATACATATGGGAATTGAACAATAAAAATAGTGATGATTTTATATTGAATTGGCCCATCCTTAAAAAAGTACCTGCTTGTAATAATATTTCCAAGAATTGTATATAATGCCTACAAGATTAATTTGAAATAATTACATACGCAAACCAAGAATGTTTATTAAACAAAAAAATAGGAATTGATTTCTAAATGCAGGCAATGAAAATAAGTTTTAGATTAAATCCCCCTTTAAAAATATATTAAAAAAAAATATATAAGTAAAAAATTCATTAATAATAAAATGATCAATGATAATAAAATGAACGAATCCTTAAAATTTTAGTTTTTTGCCTTTTATTTACATCAGTATTTCTATTATTTATTATTCACATCTGTATTTTATTTATTTATTATTCAGATTTGTAGCTTTATTGTTATTAATTATTTTAAATTGAAGGTTGTTTTAGCTTTGGGAAAAAGTGGAGATATCATAGTAGAGGGATTTTTTTCTACCAAACAAAAAAATTGTAAGTTAGTTTTTGTTTTTATCATTATTTAATAAATATTTTTAAAAGCTGTGTTATGACCTATCGGAACAGGTAAGATCATAGTCTTAGAACCAGGCAGGTTAGGGTGAAAAAATAAACATTTTATGAAAAACTGGTTTTTAGTTCAACTGAATGTGGCAAAAAAAATCTATAACAAAAAAAAAAAAGTAAGGTATGAGCGCTCCATTTTTTCAACCAAAAATTTAACAATTAATTGGAATAAAGTTTGACATGCAAAGCTATATAAAGAAATTTGTTACAAGCGTTGGTCACAAATTTAACACAGCATTCAACACTTTTGCGTTTGGCTTGGGTAAGCACCATTTTTAATAAGTACATCAACAATTAATTGGATTTTGTTATGTGATGAAAATTGTAGTTCTATAAGTTAAGCAATATTTCAGTTAATTAGATTGTTTATTACACTGAGAATGAGTGATATTGTACATATAGTGCTAATATGTATGATTCTACATATACTGCTGATATATATGGTTCTATGTATGCTATTGATCTTGACTATGATCAAGAAGTGCTTCTTTTAATAAAATAAACTTTTCTTACATATCTGAATGGTTTTACTGATTAACCTGTAAATGAACTTTTGCCGTGTTAGGGTATCAAGTTGTTTAAACAAATACCTCAATGGAAGTTCATTTGTGTGCAGAACACAAATAAATCATTGTAGCGTATTTCTTATTGAATACTCCAAGTTCTACATTACTCCTTTACTAGAAACTGAATTTATTTTGGTGCTATCACAGCCGGCAACTCATATATCTGAAGATACACCAATTTTGTTAGTTTCTGACAATATGTAATCTCAATGATTTGATTTTTTCCCAGATTTTGCTAAAACATGTTCTGCAACCAACTCATAATGCTCTTTTTTGTTACTACCCACATATTATTTATCTATTATACTCTCCATGGAGAATGGATCATCATTACTTCCATAAAAATATAGTGAAGTAAACTTATCAGTAAATGTATTATCATTTTTCTTTAAAATGTTAAATCTTTATTTTAAAAACTTTAGATTAAAAGCTTTATTGTCTCTCTTCTTAAATTGTCAATTACTTTACTTTTTACTTAGTATTTATCAACTGCTTTAATTTGGTCTGCATTAGTCACAGTATCAAAATTCACAAATACAACTTATTTCGGATAATGACATTATTTAAATATTTACAATTTGCACAGCTATTAAAAAAATATATTAATATATCAAAAAATTTACGAATATAAAATATTTACAGATTGTGCAGTCATTAAGTAACCAAATGAGATTTACGCTTATTTTAAAAAGTTATTAATCTAAATTTTTTGTATTGAACTTTCATTCTACTATGACCTATGTTTAAAGTATTAAATTGTAATTCAAAATTATTTTTTGAAAATGTAAAGTGGATCATTTGAAATGATTTTGCAATGTAACCTTGGATCTTTTACTACACGAGCATTCTAAATTTGATAGAACGTGTTGTCAACAATATCAAGTCGAAAATCAAAATTTCAGATTGATAGGATAATGAGAAGTGGTTTAAAAAGCTGCTGCCAGGTTTGGCTTCAAGCAAGCACAAAAAATTGTAGTTATTTCTTAAAATTTTAAACAATTTTTTGCACAAATTTTTTTTATTTATATGAAGGTACAGTACAACAGTTTTTCTTGTAAATATATATGATAAAAACTGTTTTTCCCTAGCCTAATGGAGGTACTCCATCCCTTTCTCAAAAAAGTTAAAAAAAAAGTAAATAAAAAACGATTATTCTCATACTAGCAGTAAGCAACGCGTAATACGCGTTGTTAGTAAATAAAATTAAAAAAAAAAACACCGCGTATAGAAAAGCCTAGAAACTACTTTAAAATAGAAAAGCCTAGAAAATGATGTAACTCGACTAATAATAATGATATCAAATTAGCGCATTCATATTATAAGATTATAATAATATTTGACGTATGTTTTTCTTTTTAAAAAAGCCTTTTTTTCTTTGAAAGAAAAAAAAAGTTAACTTTTTCTCTTTGAAAGAAAAAAAAAAGTTAACTTTTTTTCTTTGAAAGAAAAAAAAAAGTTAACTTTTTTTCTTTGAAAGAAAAAAAAAAGTTAACTTTTTTTCTTTGAAAGAAAAAAAAAAGTTAACTTTTTTTCTTTGAAAGAAAAAAAAAAGTTAACTTTTTTTCTTTGAAAGAAAAAAAAAAGTTAACTTTTTTTCTTTGAAAGAAAAAAAAAAGTTAACTTTTTTTCTTTGAAAGAAAAAAAAAAGTTAACTTTTTTTCTTTGAAAGAAAAAAAAAAGTTAACTTTTTTTCTTTGAAAGAAAAAAAAAAGTTAACTTTTTTTCTTTGAAAGAAAAAAAAAAGTTAACTTTTTTTCTTTGAAAGAAAAAAAAAAGTTAACTTTTTTTCTTTGAAAGAAAAAAAAAAGTTAACTTTTTTTCTTTGAAAGAAAAAAAAAAGTTAACTTTTTTTCTTTGAAAGAAAAAAAAAAGTTAACTTTTTTTCTTTGAAAGAAAAAAAAAAGTTAACTTTTTTTCTTTGAAAGAAAAAAAAAAGTTAACTTTTTTTCTTTGAAAGAAAAAAAAAAGTTAACTTTTTTTCTTTGAAAGAAAAAAAAAAGTTAACTTTTTTTCTTTGAAAGAAAAAAAAAAGTTAACTTTTTTTCTTTGAAAGAAAAAAAAAAGTTAACTTTTTTTCTTTGAAAGAAAAAAAAAAGTTAACTTTTTTTCTTTGAAAGAAAAAAAAAAGTTAACTTTTTTCTTTGAAAGAAAAAAAAAAGTTAACTTTTTTTCTTTGAAAGAAAAAAAAAAGTTAACTTTTTTTCTTTGAAAGAAAAAAAAAAGTTAACTTTTTTTCTTTGAAAGAAAAAAAAAAGTTAACTTTTTTTCTTTGAAAGAAAAAAAAAAGTTAACTTTTTTTCTTTGAAAGAAAAAAAAAAGTTAACTTTTTTTCTTTGAAAGAAAAAAAAAAGTTAACTTTTTTTCTTTGAAAGAAAAAAAAAAGTTAACTTTTTTTCTTTGAAAGAAAAAAAAAAGTTAACTTTTTTTCTTTGAAAGAAAAAAAAAAGTTAACTTTTTTTCTTTCAAAGAAAAAAAGTTAACTTTTTTTTTTCTTTGAAAGAAAAAAAAAAGTTAACTTTTTTTCTTTGAAAGAAAAAAAAAAGTTAACTTTTTTTCTTTGAAAGAAAAAAAAAAGTTAACTTTTTTTCTTTGAAAGAAAAAAAAAAGTTAACTTTTTTTCTTTGAAAGAAAAAAAAAAGTTAACTTTTTTTCTTTGAAAGAAAAAAAAAAGTTAACTTTTTTTCTTTGAAAGAAAAAAAAAAGTTAACTTTTTTTCTTTGAAAGAAAAAAAAAAGTTAACTTTTTTTCTTTGAAAGAAAAAAAAAAGTTAACTTTTTTTCTTTGAAAGAAAAAAAAAAGTTAACTTTCTTTCTTAGAAAGAAAAAAAAAGTTAACTTTTTTTCTTTGAAAGAAAAAAAAAGTTAACTTTTTTTTCTTTGAAAGAAAAAAAAAAGTTAACCTTTTTTTTCTTTTTAACTAAATATAAAGTTTTTTTTCTTTTAAACAAAATATTGTTTCTACTATGTAAACTCGGGTCTGTGATGAGGAATTTCATTTAAAATTAATTTGAAACTAAATCTTTTTTAGGCGCATGGGTGGACACTTTGAATAATGGAGAAAAAGTTGGCTTTATTGCTTGCATGATAGTTTTGTTTTTTCTGCTTGTTGCTATAATCTGCATTATCATCGGAAAGTTCATAAAAAGAAAATATTTTTATAAGAACTACCCATTCTCGCAATATTCTCAAAGAGAACCAGTTTTATCATCGCTTGTTAAAAAAGACTTATTTGACGATAAAGCTTAATTGTATTCGAACAGCATTAATTGTGAAAATGGTTATTTTATTTTTATTGTTTACATAATAAAATTTATTTGAGCTCTATTTTTTACTGTTTTTTTTTTTAGTTATTTAATTTTTTATTTTTCTTAATAAAGCTATAATATTTTTTGCAATAAATATATATACATTTTTGATAAACTTATAATTTCGTTGACTATTTTTACCGACCAACTGCGCGCTAAACATGGTAGCATGCTACCAGGTGGTCTATTAATGGATCTCATAAAGAAAAAATCATATTTCAGAAGAATCATTAAGCTCTTTATATGTGATCAGTGCTTATAACATTAATCTTGTCGGTGTTCATTCCGCTAAATCTTCCGTTGAAGTTTCTTTGGGAAAAAAATCTCTTTAGGCAAAAACTTAACAGGATTAGTCAGAATAGCTCCATTTAACAGGACTAATAGGAAGTTAGACAATTTCCAAGTAATAGTAGCCGGGTTTTTTTCTCGGGCAGCAATAACTTTTAAAACCCTTTGAAACAATGAGACATAAATAAATATGTATTTAAAAGCAGCCGTGGCGCAGTGGTTGCACACTTGCCTCAGAAACGTAAGATCCGTGGTTCAAACCCCACCTCTGGGCAAGTTTTGCGACATCGGTTGGGAAGGAAGCGTGAACTTCCTATTAAATGCTCTTCCGCGGTGCTCTGTGATAAGACCGTAAGGACTTCTTGAGGCACCTAAATTAACTTAAAATAAAAAAAAAAATCTAGACTATAGAATCAAAAAAAAAAAAAAAAAAAAAAAAAAGTTTAAATAAGAAGATACAATCGACAGAGAAAAGTTGAGCTTAACCCACAAGAGCAATTAAAAATGATTTTTTCGAAGATTGGAATTCGTTTATTTTTAAATCAAAACCACCTTATAACAACTTAGAGTTAAGTCAATGTGATAAGTTTATAAAATAAAGTTGCATATAAGACATCAAAATTGTTAACAATATTTGACATTTTACTGTGTGATTTTGGATATGTGAGTGTCAAACAATTTTAAAAATAAGAATTTTTCAATAGCATAAAATTTTTCTGTGGCAAAAGTCATAAATAATATTGCTTTAAAAAAGTTTCAAATCGTCATAATAGTTTCTTATTCAATTGATTGTTTTTCCACTAAAAAATTGAAGTGCACTTAGGTAATCAATAATGCATGATTTCATTTGTAAATTTTTTATTATTCGGAAATACCTCACTATTGGTTTCAAAAACCTACAAAATTATGCAAAAGATATGTATTTAAAAACACGCAAGAGGTACCTATTTAAAAATGTGAAAGGTATATGTATGTAAGAATATGCAAGTGATATAAATGTGAAATGAGTAAGTAACATTTTTTTTGGTTTAAAATGTTTTGTGTTACAATGATATCATATTGATACATATTTTAGCTATTTTACATATTGCATCTATGTTTGAGTATGTTTAATGAATAACTAGTTATTATAATATCTTTATATCATTTTATTAAACTATTTGACACAAAAATTAATTTTATTTGTATTGTTTTTTTATTGGTCTTTATGAGCTACAAACTTGGGTGGAGAAAAAAGAAACTTCTCACGACACTTACTTAAAGTGATTTTTAATCAAAAAGATAGTGAAACTTTTGTAAATTTGCTCATATTAAACCCAAATTGACTTACTTTTGAAGATTATTAGAAAATAGTATTTCGAGTCGTTGGAAATAATAAGAGCCTAAAACAACTTCTAAGAAATTTTTTTTAGTATATATTTTTTAATGCAACTTTGTTTTATAGGACATAACGCATTTTAGGTTTGTCCTTTATTATTGAAATAATTCACATAAGCGAATTCAGTATTTTATGATATTTGAGCTAATTTCCAGATATGAAACTCCAAACACTTATATGTTTATATTTACATCAAATATGCCTAATGTGCAAAAAAAAATTGCGATGATTAGTGCCTGCGAACAAAAAATTCCTAAAATTTTGACAACAACTGCTCTAAACGTGAGAGTAACAAGTCGATAAAATATTTCTTTATTATTCTCTACTAAATTTAAATTTATTGATGAATTTTAAACTTCACACAATAATCTCATTGTATTTAAAAATTATGACCTTAAAAAATGTGTAATCCCTTCAAATTAAATATGATTTCTTTATTATCTAGTCTTAGTTTTTGAAAGCTAAAATTTAAAGTTTGTCGATGATTTTTTTTTTTGTTGAGAACAGTAAAAAAATATTTTTTTCAATTTGTTGCTGTCGCGTTTATGGCAATTGTGGCCAAAATTTTAGGGTATTTTTGTTCCAATGCTCCAATCATAACAATTTTTTAAACATAATTGTTTAACATGAGAATTACCGTATAAGTGTTTGGAGTTTGCTTCAGCTTCAGCTCTAGTTAAAAGCTTATGTATGTGTTAAGTCCATAAAATCTTGAATTATATAATCTCAAACTTTAAAAAGTATTTTTTAAAAATAGACCACAAGCATTCAACACGAAACAACAACTTGAAATCAATGATAAATTTTTAACCAATTGTTTTTAGTTTTTAACTGTTATCTATATTTATATACACTTTTATTGATAAATACATTTTTAACGGTACGTTTATGGAAAACAGTGTAGATAAGCCGAAACTGTATAAATAATTGTAATAATATTATAATATAATAATATATATACTATAATAATATATATAATATAATAATATTTATATAAACAAATATTTTGTTACAAATATGTGTATATACATTTTTTCAAATCTATATTAACTGTCAATTTTCTGAGTTTTATTTGTTAACTTAAAAACAAAATTAAAATTTTCTGTAAAAAAAAAATTTGATTTCGAATTTAAAGATACATAATTAAGAATTATTTGTGTGCATTTAAATTTATTTATGTGAATGATTATTTCTTCAATTGACGATAAGTATTATTACTTGGAATAAAATATTATCATGATAATATCAATACAAATATTATGATAAATTGTCAATATAAAATTACCAAATAAATAAATCCTAACCCGTGGCGCAGTGGTTAGAGCGCTCACTTTGGAAGCAAGAGATCCAGTGCTTGAAGCGAGCTCTGGGCATATTTCGCGCCATTGGTAAAGGTAGGAGACGTGAACTTCCTCATTAAATGCTCTTCCGCGGTGCTCTGTGACAAGACCGTTGGGTCTTCTTAAGGCACCTAAAATAAAAATAAATGAAAAGTTTAAAACTAAAATTACTTGGCATAAGAAATATTTACTTGTGCAAAATTTAATTCATTTGTGTGCAGTTTTTTTAATTGTCTAAAGTTATTATGTGACTTTACATGACTGCAAAGTTTGCAATCATAATAAATTAGACCAGGTGTAGCATGATAAAGATGTAGAAGTAGCCCAATACATGAATCATAAAGTCATATCACTGAAAACGTTAAGCCATTCTAGTTCAAAATTTTTAAGACATTTTTTTTTTATTCAGAACTTTGATCTTGCTGTTTCCTATAGGTAAACGTATTTATTTACAAAGTTTAAATACGGATAATAACATTAAAATATGCAACCCGGTATTAAACGCTATTAAGTATTAAACGCTCGAATTATACATAGGCTTTTTAATCTTGATTGGATAAATCCGTCTCTTGATTTATGACCGCACACTGCCGTCAAAACTTCAGTAATAACTTTATCGCAACGTTTAAAAGCTTAAATGTGACATGGAAACCTAAAATAATACACAACAAATGATTTACTGGTAATGACCGTCTCCCTAATAACTGCAATGTCAAACATCAATGGAGGTCGGTTATTTAAGTGTTTTGCCAATCAATGAAGTAAACGTAATCAGAAATTTCGTAGTTTAGTTTAGGAACAATCTATTGTCTAATTTTGTAACAATAAATTATATAATTCGCTGTGATCTCGCTTTTGAATTTCTGCGCAAACCTAATTCACGAACGTGTTTTTGCTCATTTTTAATCGTTGCGAAAAAATTGTTTTTATGATGAACAAATAGTAGCCATTTCGTTTTATAGCAAGATTGATAATGTCTATTAGAAGACAGATAACGCAACAAATTAATTGTTTTACACAGGTCCTCCAAGCTTATTAGAAGGGTTAGATTTAATGCAATACAGCAATAGTAGACAAAGTTCTTGCAGTCAATCTTAGAGCTGTCAGAGTCTACTGTAACGGCTCTGAAATTGACATGTACAAACGAAGCACAAAATTTGCCGCTGTAAGTCACCTCAAAAAGTTTAGAGTTTCTTAGAGCAGTTGCATAAAAACTAACAGCTTTACACCTAGAGAGACAGCACTTGTGACTTCCCATAAGTAGGTAACCGTAGGTAAAGCAAAAAGTATTTTTTCAAAACGTTTTGCATTCAATTGTTGACATGTTAATAACTCTATTCAAAAATCCAACCGGTTGTCAGAACGTCAAAATATTGGAATAAATGAAACTGACATACTAACTACAGTAATGTTAATCGTAATTCTTTTTCATATCAAAATGATTACAGGATTCGATTATCCGGGCAACAATGCGAGGGCATGCGTCAGACATTTCTCTGACGCTGAGGCTGCGGCTGGTCTGTCAGATTCTCTGACAGATCAGCCGCAACCGTAGCATCAAAGATTTTGAAAAAGCTTTGAACTAGTAACTCTTTAACTTTGAAAAACAAACCTTGACGAACGAGTTCTTTGCGCAAAAAAAAAAAATTCGGTTGAGCTCGGTATTACCAACGTGGTGGGGATCGAACTCAAAACTTCTCGTTTATGAATCAAGAATCTACGACTACATCAATTCAGTATACGATTTACAATATTCAATAATATTGATAAATCAAAAAAGACTTCTTTTTAATTTTGGTCCATGGCCATGGGGAAGTAACAATACTTTTGATACCAATAAGATCAAACGCATTTGTACTACAATTAAAATTTTTTTGTTAAGTTCAAATTTCTAAAATAAAACATGGGCCAGAAAAACATAAGATTTTATTTGGTAGTTTTTTAAATAAAAATTACTTGTTTCAACGCTTGACAGAGTTAAAACTCCAGTTGCATTATAATAATATATTATCATAATTTGTTATATATTATCATAAGTATTAATAGTTATGCAAAACAGGTAGGTCGTAGATAAATATGAACTATGCTTTATTACTAACTGGTAATGATTAACTTTTTAATAACTGTGTCAGAAAGCTCAAACGTTGATGGAGGTTGTTATTATTTTGAACGATGCATTATTACTAGTTATGCATTACTACTAACTATGCGTAATTAAGATTTATAGATTATTACCATGTACACTACGATGCATTGGAATAGTAAGTGAAAAATAAATAGTCAAAACTTGTATATGTAATAGAAATAAAAAAGTTGCTTTTAGTTTAAAATAATCGAATAACGTCCTCCCCCCCCCCCCCCCACCATCTTCTATCATTAAGGTAATATCACCTATCATGTCTATCATGATAGACAGCCTGTCTAAGCCAAATCAATTTATTAATTATTATTAAAAACTTTTTTCTAATTTTAAAACTGTACAACGCATTTTTGTATTTATAACTGAGTTTTTATTTGATTATTTTTTATATTTTTATTCTAAATTATTCTTTATCTTCTAATATAATAGCTTGAAAGCTTGAGTTCTTTTATTTCTTATTTTTTATTGTAAGTTTATTTATGTTGTGAATATTTTATTATACCAAATGTTTATGTGTTGAAACACAAAAACCTTTTAGTGGTTTTCGATGACAAAACCTTACGATCTACTGAAGCCCCGCTTTCTATTTCTTGATATTGGGGTCGTCATTAAACTTTCTGAAAATAATTAGTTTACACCAGTCAGTGGTTTTATTTTATCATTTTAAATTTAAGCAATACACATACTCTAACTACAGTCATTACACCAAAGCGACGTACATTACAATTTCATTGACCGATGGAAACCGCTCCAGGAATTTCTGAATCGGAAAAAAAGAAGTAATTACATCCTTTTCACTGGCATTTTTTGTGCTCTGTGATTCAAACATTTTTGTAGCTATAACCAGTAACGGATCCAGGAGGGAGGAGAGGGGCATTTGAAGAAATTAGAGGTATGCATTCCCTTTAGGCATGGCCCTTTAATATTTCATTTACTTATATATCTAAGTAGGTGAAATACCAAAGTTAATATATACATATACATATATATATATATATATATATATATATATATATATATATATATATATATATATATATATATATATATATATATATATATATATATATATATATATATATATATATATATATATATATATTTTATATATATATATATATATATATCAACTTAGGTACCCTAGCAGTT